CATTAAGGCTCTGGCTGACTATGTGAGTGCCTGCTGAGGACAGTGGGGATCTCTGTGTCCCCATGCCACCATGGTGGGAGAGCTGGGAGGGGATGGAGGAGCCTGGTCCTTGGGAGGCACCTTGGACCCCTTCATGCCCTCCTTTCAGCTCTCCTCTCGTCACAGGTCCATGCCCGGGGCCTGAAGTTGGGCATTTATGGCGACCTGGGCACCCTCACTTGTGGGGGCTACCCAGGCACCACGCTGGACCGTGTGGAGCAGGATGCCCAGACCTTTGCTGAGTGGGGTGTGGACATGCTGAAGCTGGATGGGTGCTACTCGTCAGCAGAGGAGCAAGCGAAGGGTAAAGGCTCCCCAGCCAGCTGGCATTTCTCACCTTGCTGCTTTGGTCAGGGTTACTAGCCATCTGCAGAAACACTTGGCCAGCCGGTTCTTCCCTCCTGTCTCCTATTGCAGCTCTTGGGAAAAGAGGAGGGAGTCTGGGTGCCCTGGAGGTGGTGTAAGGAGGCCAGGCTGGCGGGGCCGGGCGGGCCTGGGGTCGCCCTGGCCTGGTGGGCGGGGATGCAGGCTGCTGCCAGCTGCCTCCTTCACCAGCTGTCGTCTTCTCTCCCTAAGGCTACCCAGCAATGGCAAGGGCCTTGAACGCCACAGGTCACCCCATCGTCTACTCCTGCAGCTGGCCAGCGTATCAGGGGGGGCTCCCCCCCAAGGTGAGGGTTGTTCTGTCCAGTGACTGTTTCCCGTGTCCCCTTTGCCACAGGGGAGTTCTTGTTGGAGCTGCAGGAGCCAGGTGCTTCACCCTGCCTATTGCTCCACCCCAGCAGGATGGGGCTGCAGGTCCCTGAAGGAGACGTGGCCTCCCTGCCAGGCATCTGGGGACACTAGGGTTTCCCATTGTGACTAGGTGGTGGGAGTTTTGGGGAAAAAGGCCCTAAGGTGTGCCCTCTCCGCCCCACCTAGCTGTTGTGGGGTTGATCATGACAGGACTTGTCTCAGAAGAAGAGACTTATCTGGTTTTAGTGCTTGAAATGGGATGTTCCTCTTTAGTAATGTTCCTTGAGAACTGAAAAATTGAGAACAACTGAGAATTGAAATTGCATTTATTTCCTCTTTCATCAGTCAATCCCAAGCTGCCTTCATTCTTGCAGCTAGCCCCATGGCCTCTGCGGTTGTTTTGCCAGACATCCTATCATACTGGGATGTGTCCAGTCATAGTGGGATATGACTGTCCTCCTTTACATGGTATTGCCCTTCTCCAGATCCTTCTACCCTTCACACATTTTCTGGATGCTGCAGCTCTCAACAAATCTGCCTGCTCCTTCTACCCCACCTTGCAGATCAGGCGCTTTCTCCCTCTTCCTGACCCTGTGCTCCTCCCCAGGTGAACTACACCGTCCTGGCAGAGGTCTGCAACCTGTGGCGTAACTACGATGACATCCAGGACTCCTGGGACAGTGTGCTTTCCATCCTGGACTGGTTCTTTGCAAACCAGGACGTGCTGCAGCCAGCGGCTGGCCCTGGCCACTGGAATGACCCTGACATGGTGTGACTGGGTGGGGGGGGCACCAACCCTGCATGAGGACAGAGGATCTCTGGGGATCCCCTTCTAGGGGCAGAGCAAAGAAGGAGCACCAGGAGGAGGAGCCCTGTTGCTGCAGAGAGGCAAAGCTTGTGCTGCCCTTAGCTAAGCTGCGTGAAAAGCCTTGCATTGAACCCTTCAGCACTCTAGAGGTTTAGATTGGATATTGGGAAAAATTTCTTTACTGGAAGAGTGGTGAGGCATTGGAACAGGCTGCCCAGGAAAGTGGTGGAGTTGCCATCCCTGGAAGTGTTCAAACAATGTGTAGATATGGCACTTCAGAATATAGTTTAGAAGACATGCTAGTATTGGGTTGACAGTTGGACTTGATGTAGAGGTCTTTTCCAACCTTCATGATTCTGTTTTATTCCCTTCTATGAAATCAAGTATACCTGCCAAGTTGTCCGGGTGTGCTTGTCCCTTCTGACAGCTCAGCAGCTAGCAGGGGTGGGATCTCCCAGCAGTGGTAGGCTGCTTGAGGGGAAGCAAAAGTGCATGTGAAGTGTCTTATACATGCTTCCTCCCAGCAGGCTGCTGCATCACCAAGGGTGACAAGCAGACAAGTTTCTAAGCCTCTTCTGCCTCTTCTGTTTTTCACTCTCTTCTCTCTAGCTCATCATTGGAAACTTTGGCCTTAGCTATGAGCAGTCACGCTCCCAAATGGCCTTGTGGACAGTGATGGCAGCTCCTCTCCTCATGTCCACGGATCTCCGCACCATCTCGCCGAGCGCCAAGGAGATCCTGCAGAACCGCCTGATGATCCGGATCAACCAGGACCCCCTGGGAATCCAGGGGCGCAGGATTGTCAAGGTTAGGGCAAAAGCATATGCGATTGGAAGAGCAGGGTGTCACAATAAAGAGAGAGAGGGAGGCAGCGCAGAGAAACACAAGCAAGAGACCTGCAGTGGGAGCTGGAGAGCCACTGGCATAGCAGCCTCACAGGCCAAGGTCAGAATTTAAGGGCCAATGCTGGTCCCAGCAGCTCTGTCTCACCCACCCATTCCCATCCCTAGGAGAAATCCCACATCGAAGTGTTCCTGCGCCCGCTGTCCCAGGCTGCCAGTGCCCTTGTTTTCTTCAGCCGGAGGACAGATATGCCCTTCCTCTACACGACCAGCCTGGCCAAGCTGCACTTCCCTGAGGATGCCGTGTATGAGGTGAGCCCTACTGGCACTCTGTATGGTGGGGCAGCCCCAATGACACCTGCATCACCCTCTTCCCAGCTCCCTCCTTTGACACCCTGTGCATTTTTTGGGGGAAGGAGTCCTACTCCTTGCCTCCGAGACAAATGGGCAGCCACTCATTGGGTCACCCTCCTGTTCCTTGCTACTGTGCCCTGTCCCACCATGCCATGTCAGTGACCGTGCCTGGACCTCAAGATGAAAGGTCTGTGGAAATGCCGGTAGCCCCCATCTCTCTCTTCCAGGTCCAAGACGTGTTCAGCGGGAAGATCATCAGCGGCTTAAAGACAGGAGACAGCTTCTCGGTTGTTATTAACCCCTCGGGAGTGGTGATGTGGTATCTCCATCCCATGGCACAGCCCTGGCATGGTGTCAGACAGCAAGGCCCCAGCAAGGGTTTCCACCCAGTCCTTCTGTAATGAGGCTCAGTGGACAAGGGTGTGGGTTGGTGCTGGGGTGAGCTGTGAGATCCCGGGGCACGAGGCTCCTCACTGCACAAGTGCCTTTCACTGCTGTTGCCCAGAAATGCTGGGGAGTGACTCCTCCTCTGGTACCAGCCTAATGATGTCTACTCAGTCTGCATGAAGCAGGAATTGTTGTTACCCACCTCCTAAAGTTGTGCAGAATATAATTCCTCGATGATTGCAAAGCCCTTTTGAGATCCTCCTGTGGAAGATGCCATGAAAGTGAAGTCCAGCCACTGCTGGAGTTTGTCAGCTCTGCCACCTGAGCACTTCTTCGAGTTGGGTACCACTGACTGCTGCAGGGGCTGTTTGAACTATACCTGTAGAAAGGCTTCGGATGCTTTAAGATCCTGGCTAGTGACACCACTTCCCCTAAATACATGATGACATTAGTTTCAAGGGTCAGACCTGGTCACCTTCCTTTTACTATCATCATCTTGGCTTAGAATAAGGGGCTGTCAATAGGGCTGCACCATTGCCATGAACCCTCTCTGGAACCAAGAGCTCTTGGAGGCATGATGGTCCTGTGCAGAGGGGCTTTGCATGCAGGCCTGATCCTGCTGCCAGGATCTTGGAAGCCAGTGCTACTACAGCCTGGCACGCATGCACGCATTGTATTAATGACCCTCTAGTATCAGTTTACAGCAGAGCAAAAAAAAAAAAAAATTCCTCTACTGGCCACGCACAACCCCAGCAGCCTTGCTGGGGTGCAGCACCAAGAACTGCAGAGCTGTAGCGCGTTGTGCATGAGTGGTGTCGGGAAGCTGCGGATGCTCGGTTGACTTGGGAGACGGTCATGGATGTCTCCAAGCTGCAACATTTATCCTGTTCTTGCTCTAGAAGGGAATTCCTGCTAAAAGGGAGCTCAGGCCCTCCTCCAGCAAGCTGAACAGTTAGGGTTTCTCAGGGAAGGGCTCCTCCTTCTCCCAAGGGCAGCTACAACCACAACTCCATCCTGAGGAGGCTGGAAGTGGAGGTAGGTGGACAGACTAGAGCCCTCAGCTGCTTCACCTTCATGCAGTGCACATCCTACTGAGGGATTTTAGGCAAGACGTACCCTGCCTCAACTGCCCCAGAGAGGGGTAGGGCATTCATGAAGACTGTCTCTTAAGATCACAGCCCAGGGAGACCAATACAAGATTAAGCCTCATACTGGGGAAACACCATGTTTTACATTAGGTAAAAAAAACCCAAAATTTCTTCTTTCTATTCAGGATGCTGGCAGGTTTCTGGTCATCCACCCACTCTGGTTCCTGCAGGACCAAATGGCTGATTCTGGCTACTTCCAGACTTCTGAGTGCAGTAGCAAGGTACTTGAACAAGATGCTTGCAGTGCTAGCAAGGACAGACAAGTGCACTTTGTGCCCATGTACAGGAACTGGCTTTGTTCTTGGGGAGTGATTGAGGCAAATCAATTGCAATAAAGGGGAAGCAGGTCATGGGCTCTCTGTTTCATGTTTATTCAGTGTCACGAGTTATAGCTACCTGGTTAATGTGGGATTACAGCATCATTACCTCAAAACGGGAACAACTATGCTAAGAAATAGAACTGGTTGCCTGTCAGAGACTGGACTGATGCAGAGTAGGAAACAGCTTTCCAGTAGTTACATCATGTTCAGCAACTTGTCACAAGAGAAAGTAGCTTTTACAGTCCACAGTTAAGTGCCATTTTCCTTTATCTATTTATTTTTCCCCTTGCTGGAAAAAAAATGGCAAGCAAGGAGTTTCTCTCAAAGACAGGACTTTCCTCTGGCAGCAAACACCTAGGGAAGGTGCTAGGAATGCAGCTGTAGTGAGTAGCAGGGTGGTAACACGGCCCCCACGAAACAACATGCCAGTCCTGGATATCTGGGCAGGAGCAAAGGCACAAAGCAGCCTTCTGCCCTCCCTGTGCAGCAAGAGGACGAGCTCCACCTTCTTCTTTCCTCTCAGTTACTTGATTCCAGATCCAGCTTAGCTATGGATCAGGAAGCGAGTAGAAGCAGTTCACAGCCAACTGCAGAGAACACCACCAGCAGCTGTTCCAGCCTTCTGTGCAGTAGGCAAGAATGAAGGTCAACACAACACACAACAGGCAGCTAAAGGTATCAACACTCCTGTATTAAAGTGCAATTCAAAAGTTTACAAACATTCATGGCTGATTTTTTTTTTAATACAGTTATCAGAACATCTCTAACTCAAGAGGTGTTTATATTTAAGGAAATTTACTTCCCCCACGCAGGGCTGCTTTAAGAATTCACACTTGCAAGCCTGATTTACAGGTGAGCCCCAGCACACAGGGAAGTTAAGAAGGAAAACACTCCTTCCCCTTCACTGTGAAGGTAGGAAGGCTGTAGGAAGTACAATCACCCCATAGGAAAAGGATCACCAGGGGCTCCATCAGACTAGAGAGACTCTCTTCAGAGCAGATTTAACAGCACTATGTCCTATGGAAGAAGGAAAGGTGGTGGCTGAGCAGCCAATCTGCAAGAGCGGAGTGTCAGGAACATCTGCATTAGGTAGTGGTTCCCAGCTGAGAGGACACTACACCCCACAGCAACCCAACTCTGGCATTACACTGCCCACCCTCCCACTCTGCTCAGACACCAGCATATGGGCACGGCTGCAGCAGCCCAAGGAAGAGATGAAGGCTGATTTTCCTCTGCAGAGCTAACACACAGCACAAACTTGCTTAGCAGACGGAGCCAGGGCTGTGGGACCTGTCTCCTGGCAAGGGTAGTGCCACGTCATCTTCCTAATACAACGCATTTTGCTCCAAGGCAAGCAGCCTCCTGTGCGGCGCTGGGCTCCCATACGCTTGAAGAATGGCTGCTTGACACAGGACCATTGCACAGAGATGGCACCCATTTCTAAGAGAGGGAAAGGAAGACTGATTTCCATGCCTGCCAGTATCAGCTCACTGCTCTGCCACACACCTTTGTTTGTTCTTCTATTCAATGTCTACAAAGACAGGCTGGCTGGGGCCGGTCCCCTTCGCTCTTCCACAGCCAAATGCTTCAGTGCCTCTTAGGACGCACTTCCTGAGTTTGTCACACCATGGCTGTTAGTCCAGGACATGAAACGCACGCTTCCAGCACAACACGGGATTTCCAGAGTCCCATCTCACGCTGAGTTGTGCCAGAATTTAGGAAAATTTAACAACTTTCTGGGCCGCCCATGGGTCTATGCAAGGAACCTCATGGCACTCTACACCTTTCCCTTTGGATGATGCTTCCAAAGAAGTCAAACGTTTAGCATTCCAAGTAGTTTTACTCCCAAAATCCCAGAGCCTTCAGATTTTAACCCTAGATTAGTGATACAGTCTACTGGTAGTTTAAATCCATCTCTCTCCTCAGGCCAATGACAGAGCAAAAGGTTAGTGCTTCGACCCCACAAGATAAAGCAAATAAACAGGAACCTGCTGTTGTTCCGCCTTGTTTTGCCACTGACTTAATGTTTACGTAGGGGCAGGTGCTCAGCTGCCCAGTGCTACATATATGGTATATATACAAAGAGACCTAGAGATACGCTAACCCAACAGGTAGTAACAGCCAAGTCGTCTTGAGGGAGAGAGAGTGTGGGAGGCTGATTCCAATTTCCTTCTCTTAGTTGTTCTTCTTATCCTCAGGAGGTGCATAAGGAGGTGGCTGATCCTGGAAGGAGATACAGTAGAGTCAACAACCGTGCTTGTTTTTATTATGCGCTCTTGCCAGGCGTTCCCAGGCTCAGCTTACAAGAAATGACTGCTCTTCAGTGAGTTAGAGTCAGGTGCTGTGTTTTGAGCTGTCACTTCATCGCACCATTCCTCTCTAGTACCAGTTATGCTCCAGGATATACACTGCCTCCCATTATGTTTCTAGCGAAGGTTCTCTCAAAATCAAGCAACAAACAGTCTGTTATAAATAGACCAGTTAATCTGTTTTAGTGGCAATTATCCCTTCACTCCCAGGGCTGTTGATGTTCACAGGTCTGGGCTGAGGGACACCTTTTCTGCACAATGGTCTCCAGCCCACCGCAGAGCCATGCCAGGCAGTGAGGGGCACAGGCAGACCAGCTGTCACATACCAGATGTCGGCTACAGCCTACCTACCGCCTGCCACCGACTGAACAGTAAAACGTCTCCCTGTCTCCCCACATCCTAGTAAAAAGTGAAAGAGAAACCCATGTGCTCTCATCGTTAAGCAACCTGCCCCTTTTTAACTCTCCTCTCTTTAAGGCCCAACAGAAGCAGACCGCTCTCTGTATTCTCTGTGCCCATGCAAATTTGTTATGCCCCAAAGAGTAAGACAGGTACCAAATGCCTGTTACTGGATTAATCTCAAGGCCCTCCTCCTTTCCTGATGGAGGATTTAACGAGCCTTCATGGAACCTACAGCCACAGCTCCCTCCCAGGAAAATGCATACTTTCTGTGCATGTTTAATATGAAGGCATGCTAGACTTTGCTAGGAAACGAAACCATCATCCTCGCTAGTGACAGAGGAGGGCGCAGGCACATGCAGACTGCAGGCACAGTACTCACCATGGGCATGTACACATTGTGTGGGTTGGCAGGGTTGTAATACGCACTGGAAGCAGCTTCCATGGCCTTGCCACCACCTAGAAAGGGAAGAGAAGAAGTCGTGTTACATGCCTTGTAACACGGCATTGGCCCCAGTCCCAGAGCCCTCTCTCCAGCCATGGCTCTTTTGAGGGGGCAACAAAGGTCCAAAGAGCCAACAGCAACTGCAGCAACCTGGGTTTGAATTCAGAGCAGTTCAGGAAAGCTACGAACTGGCTGGAGCCAACCATAAGCTGTGCAGTGCAGAGCTGAGATGAGCAGCTCCCCACCCACTCCGTTATCTCACATAATAGATCAAGACTACTTTGAGCTCCTGAAACAGCTTCCCCACCCCACGCTGTGCCCACAGCACTATTCACAGCCCAAGAGTCCTTTTGCACCCAGACCCTGGTAGCTCCCTGGTCCTGCTTACCTGGCATCCCTTGGCCTGCCCAGGCTGGGGGAGCAGAGGGGGCTGAGGGTCCCACAGGAGACGGCCCAGAGTAGGGAGGAGGAGGTGGCACATACACGGGGTTCATGTTTGGAAGCGGTGGGTAAATACCTGAAAAAGATGACACAAGATTGATGCTTTTGACTGTGGCAATGGGACAGCGGAGAAGAGAGCTCATGGGCCCTGCAGCACGTGAGCCCTGGGCAAGAGCAGCGGCGAGGGAAGCTCCACAGGCTTGGCAGGGATACAGGCAGCGGGGCTGTGACGTTTTGCTAACGTCTGTCATGCCAGCAGGCAAACAGCAGTGCCATTTCCAAAGCACATTTTCAGCTCCCATCCAGCTGCAACTCCAGAGACACACGGATGTGATCAACAGCACATGGCAGATTTTTGCAAGGACAAGCGTCCTCAATGGAGGCAAAACTACAGTGACTCTCAACATGCCATTGCAATTTCTTTATAGCTAACACCAAACGCACCCTGCCAGTCATCGTTACACAACTTCCAAACCTGGAGTCTGGGCATATGGGTATCCCATGGGCTGTGGAGCAGGTCCATAGGCATTCATCGGAGGTGGCGTATAAGGATATGGTCCGCTCGGCGGTGGAGGAGAAGCATAGCCCCCCGGTGCAGGCGAATAACCTCCAGGAGCAGGTGGGGTGGGTGCGTACCCTCCAGGCATGGGTGTGTAGCCATAGCTGGGGTTCTGGAGAGGAACTCCATTGGAAGCTAGGGGGAACAAGTTTAGAAAGCCAGACATCCTTTTGTTACAACTAAACACACAAAATAAAAAGGGGAATAGTCTTGTTCATGCAGCACCATTTCCCTTCATCTAAATTTCACCACACAGTCCTGCTACAGTGCTGCGCTTGAAAAGCGTTAAGTCTCCTCCCTGCAAGTTCACAGGGTGCTAAAGGAAACCGGCTGCAAAAATACCAGCTATCAGGTACAGAGCTCCCACTGCTGGAGGAAAAGACTGTTCTAAAGCCAGTATCAGTAGGGTGTTTTTCTCCTTCTTTTAAAACTTTCTTATCAGGGAAAAATGTGCATTTTAAATTGCACATTTCTTTAAAGATAATAGCTTCTTATCTGAAAAAAACAGTACTTTTCCCCTCCATTTAAATATAAGTTATTTCTTAAGTTTATTTAAATGTATGTGTGTTAAATTCCTCCATCTTACTCCACTATTATAGAACTGAGCTGAGCGTAGGGAAGTGAATCAAGTTTCTACCATATACTGGGAGAAGTAAGGTTCTGTTGAAGAAAAATACGTTGCTGTGGAAGAGTGCATAGGGTACACTTCTTCCCATGAAGTTTAGACAGAGCACTGTTCCCTAACTAGCTCATGGGGGGACTACAGGTGCTGAGGATCCCTTACCATTAGTGGCAGCTTTGAACATCAGCTGTCCAAACTCAATGGCTCCTCCACTGTTGAAAGTCAGTTTAAATGTCCCCTGCCCTTCCCAGCCACCTAGGAGAGAGAATTAGAATTGAAACACACTATTAACTTCCTCAGCAGCAGTCAAGACGGCAAAACAGTTAATATTCCAATTTTTTTTTTCTTCTTTATTTCAAAATTATTTTGCTTCCTGTTTCCAGGGAGTGCTGCTATAAGATGTTCCCTAAAATAATATCTCGAGAAGATCAGGAATTTATTTCTTTACCCTTTAAAAGACGATCCCCACTACAGCTATGTGGAAGCAGCCTACTCTAGACACTGGGTTGTTCTTTCCTGAAAGGTTTAATGGAACCTAATAATGAACACAGTGTAAAGAACAAACAATTAATTCACTGGGGATTTTAACTGAAAGCTCTCAAATGAAGTTTTACTGCTGACCTCGGTGGACTACAGATCCGGATCTGCATCTCAAGCTCGGGTTCAAATCAAATGTAACATTTTTAATCTCTTTCACCCACAGAAGCTCAGACAGATTATAAATGCTTAGGTATAATGTTTTTCAAAAACAATTCAAGCAGGCGATGACTTCACAAGATAAATAAGAGCGCTTTGTTTTGTAGGGGCTGTTTTGGTGTTTTTTTTTTTTTTAGGGTGCTTTGGTTTACTGGTGCTTTTAGAAAAAAACACAGATGTAATTTAAATAAAAAGATTTCATAAAACAAGGTTTATCTTCCTTGTCTAATAATGAAGTTATTAAAAGTAGAAACAGTTTCTTGGGGACAAAGCAAGAATAAAGCATAGAAGCATAACAAAACAGCCCACCACAGATAAAGTCATGCTCTTGGAGATGCACCTCTTTAAAACCACTGTCTTGTACTATTTCAGTCCGAGAGAACAAGAAAGGACAGCAGAAAGGGCTTCTTCAAATACACTGCAGACAAAACTAACACTGGAGGCAATGTAGGCCCTCTGCTGAATGAGGTGGGTGCCCTGGTGACAGAGGATACAGAGGAGGCAGAGTTACTGAGTGCCACCTTTGTCTATACTGCTGGAGGTTGTCCTCAGAAACCCCAGACCCTTGAGACCCCAGAGGAAGTCAGGATAAAGGAGGAGTTTGCCCTGGTTGAGGAGGACTGGGCTAGGGATCAGTTAGGCAATCTGAACATACATGAATTCTTGGGCCCTGATGGGATGCACCCAGGGGTGCTGAGGGAGCTGGTGGAAGTCATTGCTAGGGCACTCGCCATCATCTTCGGTAAGTCTCAGGGAACAGGAGAGGTGCCTGAGGACTGGAGGAAAGCGAATGTCACTCCAGTCTTCAGGCAGGGCAAGAAGGAGGACCCAGGTAACTACAGACTGGTCAGCCTCACCTCCATCCCTGGAAAGGTGATGAAGCAACTTCTCCTTGGCACTGTCTCCACGCATATCAATGATAAGCGGGTCATTAGGAGCAGTCAACATGGTTCTTCCAAGGGGAACTCAAGTTTGACCAACGTGATAGCGTTTTATAAGGACATAACCAGGTGGACAGATGATGGCCGTGCAGTGGACATGGTTTACCTTGATTTCACTAAAGCATTTGACACCGCCTCTCACAGCATCCTCACAGCTAAACTGAGGAAGTGTGGTCTGGATGACCAGGTAGTGAGGCGGATTGTGAACAGGCTGAAGGAAAGAAGTCAGAGTTGCCATTAATGGCAGAGTCCCTGGATGAGGGATTAGAGAGCACTGTCAGCAGTTTGCTGATGACACTAAACTGGGAGGAGTGGTTGACCACACCAGAAGGCTGTGCTGCCATCCAGCAAGAACTAGACAAGCTGGAGAGTTGGGCATGGAGAAATTTCATAAAATACAACAAGGGCAAGTGTAGAGTCTTGCAGCTGGGAAAGAACAACCCCATGTGCCAGTATAGGCTGGGGATTGACGTGTTGGAGAGCAGTGTAGGGGAAAGGGACCTGGGGTCCTGGTGGAGAGTGGGACGACCATGAGCCAGCAATGTGCCCTCGTGGCCAAGAAGGCCAATGGGATCCTGGGGTGTATTAGAAGGGGGGTGGCTAGTAGGTCGAGAGAGGTGCTACTCCCCCTCCTCTACTCTCTCCTGCTGGTATGGCTGCATTCGGAATATTGTGTCCAGTTCTGGGCCCCTCAGCTCAAGAGGGACAGGGAACTGCTTGAAAGAGTCCAGCGCAGAACCACCGAGATGATGGAGTGGAACATCTCCCTTATGAGGAAAGGCTGAAGGAGCTGAATCTCTGGAGGACACTGAGGGGTGACCTCATTAATGTTTATAAACATGTAAAGGGTGTCAGCAGGATGGAGCCAGGCTCTTCTCAGTGATGTCCAATGACAGGACAAGGGGCAACAGGTGCAAGCTGTGCTCCAGACTAGGCAGTTCCACTGAAACATTAGGAAAATCTTTTTCCCTGTGAGGGTGACAGAGCACCAGAACAGGCTGCTCAGAGAGGTTGTGGAGTCTCCTTCTCTGGAGACATTCAAAAATCCATCTGGACGCACTCCCATGTGACCTACCCCGGCGGGGTGCTTGGACTAGATGATCTTTCAAGGTCCCTTCCAAGCCCAAACATTCTGTGATTCTGTGAAAGTGGGCTGATCCACAATCCTCAGAGGCCCCAGTAACTTTAAAACATTGTTACAAACAGAAAGCAAAAGCGTAAAGCTCTCCAGATGCCATCAAAATGCACATAACTAATTTCAGGGCTGAAGAAGGAAGAAATTTGAACAGAAGCCTCGTTTTAAATCTCTGTTTATCTTCTGGAACTCCCCTTGTTCGGTCCTGGCCGTCACTGTAAGTGTCACCACAGTGTCATCATCAAATTGGGAAGAAAGCTAAACCAAGGACAGACAGCAGCATCCTAGATGCACACAAATGTAACCAAATTGGTAAGTGGCTATCAACCTCCACAAAACAAAAGGGGCTGCCAATTCTGTCTATTGAAATCAGTGAGTGATGACTTGTTTACTTACCCACCCTTACAGGTCAAAGGCAGCAAAAAAACCAAGTGCATGCAGAAACCGAACAAACACAATGCACACAGCAAGACAGAAGTTACAAGATTAAACAAAAGTCATCCAGTGAATGTCAACTGCTAGCTTTGGGGGCAGAAAGTAACACAAAAGCAGTGCCTTCAGGTTCAGAAGACCCAAGTTACCCAGGTGCGGACAAGCGCGCCACAGACAGCTACTCCGTTCATCCTTCCTGTGCACGTAAGCCACCCGTCTGATGTTCAGCAGAAAAGCGCTTGTGACACCTGGGAAGACTCCAGTCTCCAAAGCACGAGCACTTACCTCCTGCCTCAGCCTGAATCTGTCCTTTGATGTAATTGGCAGAGAAAACAGGCTGCTCGATTGAGCATCCTTTCACCAGATAGAACGGCATCATGAAAGACTGCATAGGATCCTTGCCCTTCGACACAAAGATCATCTGCAAGACAGGAGGGAACGCCTCTGAACTACCTGAGTTAGATGTAAAGAGTGGTCAAGAAGTTCTAGTTGTAGCAGCATTCAAGAAAAAGGCAACTCAACTCTTAATATCAGTACACACTCTGTTATTTCACAGCTTTAATACCACAGGATCCCAAACAGATTTGAAGGCACAACTGCTCACTCGCCTGAAGCTTGTATGTTGCAAAATAACACACTGGTTAAAACACACATGCACATTTACAGAGTTTTATAGCACTGCTTTTTAAGGTTATGCTATGACAGTTTTCAAAACAATTAATATTGACTGACACATTACATGAAATATATTCTCTAGACAGTGATTTCCAGGATGGCATGTGCCTCTGTAGGGAACTATGATTGTGACACAAGCATGAACTATCCTGCTTCCACCTTCCCTTCTCTTACCTAGCACTCTCACTAGTTCCTCCCAAGACAAAATTTACTTCTACTACCAACTAGGTTTCTGCTCTAAAGTCTACAAGATCCCCTGAGAAAGAAACAGCCCTGCTGGCATCTGACTTACCCTGTAAGGGGTGAGATACAGCACCCCTTTCTTGGTGCCTTTGAAGGCCTCAGGCTTGCCCGTCACGTCACTGAAGGAGAGCTCCACATCTTTACACTGTTTGAGAAGGCTACCGGAGGAAATTGGACAAATTTGATAGACAAACTCAGCAACAGCTCTGACACACACCCTCATCACATGGGGAGGGAGTAAGCCCACCAGAAACCCTGAATGCTATCCCAAAAGACTCAGTTCTAATGCGGGTCCTGCCCCTTCTGCTTTGAACTGAGAGGGATGACTTATGCAGAGCAGAAGAATTCCTCCTCCACAAAGGGAAGCTTTAAATAACAGTTCTGTCTCTAAAGCCATCAGGCTGAGGAATCCCTCTCTGCACAAGAGCCTCAGCCCACAGGTCAGCACACCGAAAGCTGTGTGAAACTACCCCCTTGAAGCCAAGGTATCATCTCCAAGCCTCTCTTTCCAAGTCCACGATCACACCCAGGCCTGCCCACCTCAGGAGAAAACAGCACCCGCTGTGCAAGCTGAGGAAGTTCCTTTACCAATACCCTCACTGCTGACCTTGACTCACATGATTTAAGTATATATTTGTAATAAACAACACCATGCTAAGGAACAAAAGAGGAGCCAGGAATGACAGCAACAAGGTTATTATTGTTGGATATCTACTGGAACATCAGCAAAATTTGCTAATGACACAAAGCCTGATGAGAACTCTGACGACTGCAGGGTCAGGGATACATCGGTGCCTGAAAAATTAAATATATTTTCATGAAAAATGAAAGAATCAACTTGGGAAAGCATGTCAATGAATCTACAGGGCAGATCTTAAACATACCATCTAGTAAGAAAATCTGCAGAATAAACAAAAGCTGCCTTTGAGGTGAGAAGCCTGCAGTGTGTTACAGTGTCATAAGAATCTGAGCCGTTTTATGGTTCAAGAGCATCAAAAACCACAAAATCCTAACCCAACACACGCCTGAAGAGGTTGGACATAAAGTAATCCTTATGTATTCTGATGAGCAAACTGTACAAGTAAGGTCAAGGCAGGAAATTGCAAAATCATTGGGGGATGGGAGGAATCAGCAGGGCCACTACATGGTAAAACAAGCAAAAGCCCTGTAGTTTCAGGTCACATGCTCTTTAGGGAATAGAAAAACACAACAGTATGGATATATCTGAAAAATGAACTACCCAAGGAGGAAGCCATTAAAAAACTCTAGCTTTAATAGAAAAAAACAACTTGACCGAGAAATTCTACTGGGTCATTACTTCAGAGCTGGAGCTACTTCAGTGTTAAGTAGTTTAATTCCTGATTTCAGTGACAAGCTACGTGCAGACTCTCAGACTGGCCAGGAGGGCGAGACTGACTAGGCAGCCAAACTCTTTCCATTTCCAAGATGCAAAGTAGGAACACTTCTTCTATGCCAAAAAATCCCCAACTCCTCGACAGCTTGGATCACACCAGAACACGTCCTCAACCACATCCTCTTTCGTGTCAGTTTGCCTCCTTGGGAAGAAACTCTACGTGATCGCTGTGATGTTTACTCCTCCCCCAGCTACTCACACAAGCGAAAACCACCCCACTGGGTGTGACCCGGCTGCTGAACTGCTCTGCACCCGCGTGTCCGCCCAGGGCTGTGGCGGGAGGGCTGCGCACCCGCGGAGCCGCGCTGCACCCACCCCTAACTCAGCATCACCTCCAAGAACGGCCCGAGATCACGGACAGAGAAACCTCCTTGAAACCAGCAACAGCTCAGAGGACACCCCTGGCCGACGTACTAGCGCGCAGGTTTTGGGGTGTATTTTTCCAAACCGACTCGACCATCCTTTACCGGCCCTGCTGTTGCTCGGGTTTCTCCAGCAAGGCCGGGGCGCCGGGAGAACCCAAGTGCATCCAGGGTGAGGCCCGAG